ATATCCAACTAGCATGGAGGTGCTGTTTCCGACAGCCACAGGACCAACCCGAACGTTCTCCCAGGGGGCACAGCAAGAGAGCCACACGGCGAGAAAAGAGAACATCGTTGCGGTTCGCTTTCAGAGGTGCCAGGGCCTTGCTGAGGGGAACGCACTCCACTTCGAATGTTGTGATTCTAATCTGGGCTCCACTGAGAACTGTGTGTGCGTACAAGTTACCACAAACCGGAGAGTATCTAACACCTGGGGATCGATAACAAGCCTGTCCACGGTGTGTGACGATTAGCTCAGGCACGGTGGGTGTGAGCGCACAAACTCGTTTGTTTCTGCAGCAGCTGTAGTCACAATGATATACAAATAGTTCACCTGTACTGCAAATGTGCACGTGTGGGCCCCAGGCTGATTCATTCCTCACGAGCACTCTGGGAGGCAGGTTCTCTTATCGTGCCTATTTCTGAGACAGGTTCGGTCGCTCTCCTGGCGGTAAGCAGTGTAGCAATGCCACGTAGTGAACAGGTGGTTTTTGTGTTAATAACCTTGTATGTTTGAAAAAGCAGTATACAGTCTCCATCTGCGATCCAATATCAACGGATTCGTACATGCCTACTTACGCTGGGGTACTACGGATGAGTCCCTGTGTCAGTGTCTACAGATGCATATAAATGAGGAGGCCTATGCCTGGAAGGGAGACAGGTGAGGAAAATATTGCCAAACAGGGAGGGAAGTGCTGGCTCCACCCACGAGCCCCAGACAAAGCAGCAGGAGGCCAGCCACGCCTCGGGGAGAAGTCGAAGTCGGGAAGCCCTCACTGCAAGGGGTGACCCTTGAATAGAATCTTCAACCAGAAGAATGAGGAGAAGGGGCGTCTCAAGCAGAGAAATGGGCATGTGCAACGGGTCAGAGCCTTTTAACAGCACAGAGAGCCACCAAGAGGTCAGGGAACGGCGTGGAGCAGAGCTCCGAGGACAAACCGGCCCAGACCAGGGGCCCCTGCATGCTTGCGAAGGAGTCTGGACCCCATCCTGTGACCCACAGGCATCCATTAAACAGTTATAAGCAGGGAGTTCTGGTAAACCCTAGGAGTCACTCTCCATTACACCCAATGCTCGGCAAGTCTGTGACTCTACCCTGGAAACATTTCCTGAATCAAACGAGGGGACTACTGGCATAATTGCATGCACCTGGGCAGATCCCGAGGTGAGCTGAGGATGCAGGAAGCACAGGAGGGAGTGGGGAGCTCTGATCTTTCACCCACAGAACAGGAGAGGAAGCAGTGTCTGTGGGCGCAGGCACAGGAAGAGGGGAGCCCTCTTCTGTCTGCTTTCTTGGTAGATTTGGAAGCAAGGTCACCAGGAGAGCAGACATACAGCTCTCTTTAACTTTTCTTAAGCAGTCACAGCATCAAAACCAAACTCCAGCTTGGAAGGGAATCTTGGGGACAATAGTAGCATATTCTGTTAGAAATGCTACATCATCAACCCTTGGTCCTCAGAATAAAAGATTACATGAAAAAAAACATAGTCAATGGAAATCGATGACCGAGAGGAAATGGTCTTAAGAACAGCATGGAAGGGAAGGGAAGTTTTAGGAACACAGTCAGTTTATGTCCCCTGTTTTCTTATATGTATATATACGTATTTTCCCACACATACATGTAGACATGAAAAACTCTGTCTCAACCTTAAAGAACTCTTTTAATGGGTATAAAATATGCATTCTATGTGACAAGAAAATAATGCTTTCTCGATCCCTCTTCCCTCACTAGCCATGGCCCCATTTTTTTGCTCTATTTACAGCCAAATTACTTCCAGGGAGAAGCCTATGCTTGCTGTCTCCATCCTCTCCTCCTGGGCTCTCTTCTCCAATTGAGTGTCTGACCAGCACTCACCAATCTGTGTCTAACAAGGTCACCAAAGAACTTTATTTTGCTTAATCCAATACTCCATCCTCCATTCATTTTACTCACTCCATTGGCAGCATTTGACATGTCTGATCACTCCTTCTACAAACACTTCCCTCACTTGGATTCCTAGAACCACATTTTACCAGTTTCCTTCCTACCTCCTCCCTCTCCATCGCCACCCCTTTCCGAGGTTCTTGTCTCTCTAACCTTGACATATGGGCATGTCCCACAGCACAAGCCAAACATCAATAAACTAAAATTCCAGCCCTGGCTGGTTTGGCTCAGTGGATAGAGTATCAGCCCGCAGACTGAAGGATCCCAGGTTCAATTCTGGTCAAGGTTACAGGCTCAGTCCCTGGTGGAGAGCGTGCAGGAGGCAACCAATCAATGATTCTCTCTCATCATTGATGTTCCTATCTCTCTCTCCCTCTCCCTTCCCCTCTGAAATCAATAAAAAAAAATCTATTTAAATAATAAATTAAAAATCAACTAAAATTGCATTTGTCAACATCTGCTCATTGTAGCTTCCAATACCACAAACCTAGAAAGTGAGAGCTTAGAAGATCGTGGGTGTTCTATCCATTTGAAATTAATACCTTCAGTAGAGCCTCAATCAGGTGGTCAGATGGCTCTTAGGGCAAAAGTCACAAGTTCTAGTCTTGACATCTCTAAATTCAGAAGGGTAAGGGAAGTCTGCTGGGACGCATGTCAGGGTTTCTAGGTTATTCACTATGGAGTATGAATAGAGCCGATAGAGTAAGAACCTTATGACGGAATCATCTAGAACCTTTATCAAGAAAGATATATGAGTAGCTAAAGGCAGGTATTTGGAGATGTCATCCCTCAAAAAAATCTGTAAGCCTTGCAAGTGTGGTAAGATTTATGTTATAATCTATGACAATAGCAGGGGGGAGATATTTCTAATAATTTTGCTAATAGTGACTATCTATTAAGTTACCCAGTATGTGCTGGACACCTGCAGGTGTTTGTTATATGTCAGCTTGCTCAATGAAGTCTCATTGGAGGATTTAATAACAACTTGAATAATCCAACTCGCCTGTCCAGCTGTTTAGAAACCGTCTCTCTGAAATGAGGCCAAAAACCGAGAGGAAAACTGACCGCCACATTCAGGGGCCAGCCCCTTCCTGGGAGAAGCCCTCGCCAGAAGACACAAGAGAGGAAACTGCACTGAAGTTGGAACCAGGAAGTTCAGGGTCAGACGGAAGAACCAAAAAGCACAACAGCCTAGGGAGGGCCGAGGGCTGTTTAGCTCATTACAGCCTGGTGGCTTATCTGATAGCACAGCAATGATTCCTTCAGGGCTCAGATCCGCTGTGCTCACTGTGATACGCACCCCCCCCCCCCCCCCCCCCCCGCCTCTCCCTGTAGGGAACAGATTTTGTAGAACATCCTAAGGGCTCAATTTTCATTACTGCTGCTTCTAATGACGGTCATTAGTCCTCAAAAGGATTCAATTATATCTAATATGTGCTACAAAGAGAACAGCAAAAACACATTTGGAAGGATTTCCTATGGTTGTTGACATTGGAACAAGGGATAGAAAGTTAAAGAGAGAGAGAGGGAGATCCGCAGCTGTCCAGAAAACCTGATTATAGAAAACAGCTTAGAGAACAGCCCCCGGGGAGGTGGGGAGGGGGGGGGGTCCAGGATACCGGAGTTTCAGGAAATGCACTCAGTGCTGCTCTTCCTGCCGGTGGGCCATAGCATCCTGACCTGCTCTGCCTCTGAGGCCGGAGGCCGGGGGAGCGTGGGCACCGGTGGCTCCCAGGGTAACGGAGATGTCTGCTGGGCCTGTGGACAGCACAGCCAGAACCGGGGCCGCTCAAAAGGGGGTCCAGGCCTCGGCAATCACCACCCAGGACTTGGCAATCACCACCCAGGACTGGGGAGAGTGGGGAACAGCCGACCTCACTTCTGAGAGCACATGGCTCTCCCTGCCTCCAGCCTGTCCTTGCTTGGGGAGTGCTGGCCAGCAGGCTGAAGGGACACAGGAGAGGGAGCCGGATTCGGGGTGCTGGGGGGCCCTGATAAGACACCGCCGTCCGGAAGAAGGGATGACTACATAATTAGGAAAGTGTATAAAGTCAATGTGTGGTGAAAGGCACGGCCCTGGTTGCTAGGCAGCCAAGGTTCCCTATCATTCAGGATGTGTCATGGAGGCCCCTTTCCCCTCCCTTTTAAGTTGAAAGTGGGGTGGTTTTTTGCACTGTGAGAGAGGACAGGGGTGTGCTGAGTCGGGCTCACCAACTTTCTGTGCAGCCACTTTCTGCCAGGACCCAGCAGCACTGTTCCTTCTGAGCTGACTCGGCGGTGGCCCCTCACACACACGCACCCTCGGAGGCGCCTGCAGCCGCGGAGCCCAGCCTGCGCCGCCGCAGCCGCAGCAGAGCGGGCGGCCCCGCGCGCCCTGAGCGAGGGAAAGCGGAATCTCGAGCGAAACTTCTCGCTTCCTGTCGCTGCCGCCGAGAGAGCCGGCCCCGCTCCTCCTCACACATGGCTCCGCCAGGACTGTAAACAGAGCCGCCCGCTCGCCCGGCGGCCCCAGGCGCTCAGGGGGCTCCCGGGGCGCCTCCCCGCGGCGCCCCCTTCGCCTCCCTCTGCCCGGGGTCATCCCGGCGCAGATAACGGTCCCGGAACGCCCTCCACGTCCTCGGGTCCTCCCTGAAGTCATGGTTCCTCTTTCAAGACAACATGGGGACGAGACGCGAGCCAAAGGCAGACTCAGCCCATCATCTCGGTGCATCCCACCGCTTCGCTATTGTAACGGGGCTGACTCCGATTCCTTTTGTTGCACACGCACACGCACGCACACGCACACACACACATGCACAAAAGTAGGTGAGGGGGTTCCCCGGCAGCATTGTTTCCCGCCGCCCAGAAAGCCTCCTGCCACCTCCGGCCAAAGAGCCAACCCTCCCCCAGCCGAGGTCTGCAAAGCCGAGGTGGTCCCCAAGCAGGAGGCTGGGCGGCAGGGCGAGCCTGGCGGGCGCACCGAGAGGTGTGCGTCCACACAAAGGCATCCGCCGGGCGGCCGCGGGGGCCGGGGCCGCGGCCGGGGCGCCGCCGGCCTCCTCACCTGGGACATCTGCGGCCGAAGGTTGATCTCCTTCAGGTCGATGGCGCGGGGCCGGAGGTTGTTGAGCAGCTGGCAGAGGAGGACCCCGTCGCGCAGGGTCTGCGCCAGGTCGAACACCTGCGCCGAGTCCCAGGTGACCCGGTGGTTGGCGGGCAGCACCTTGCAGTGGATGAGCCACTGGGCGCACTGCCGCCACGGCTCCAT